AGTTGAAAAGGACTAGCAGAAGGAACTAGCGAAAGTGCAAAAAGTTCTCCCCAGCCGAACTGCACCGGAAAACACCAACAACATTGACGCACGAGTAATTGTGCCCCGGCTTTACTCTACAGAATAGAAGCCTTGGATATGGAACATAACAACTAATTGGAATTGTTTTCGTTAGCCTCATTCGGAAGAGTCTGTCGCATTCATGATTACAACCTAAGATATCCCATGTGCTGATATGAAACCTGAGCGCTGTCCGGCTTAGAGGGGAGGCGTTGCACAGGTTTTCTTTGTTAGGTTCTTTTGCAAGTTTCTAGTTCCTTTTGGATTACACGTCTCACCTCAGTGAGGCTGTAGAAGCCAGACGAGGCTCATGCCACTGCATACCTTCACAAGGATTTGAGCGCTTCCACAGCAGACATCGGTAATGATCAACGGGATCAGCAAAATCCCCCAATAATCCCAACGGCGCCTGCACCCGTAAGACGTCGGTCCATGTACGCACCTTTTGGTAAGGAGCGGTAGAAAACGGCCGGGATTAAGCTGATTTTTCGTCCCAACAGCGCCGCTTCTAGGGCGTTTTTTTCATTTTGAAAACAGCGAAAATACTTCTTAAGCCAATCTGAGCATATCCCATCCCACTATGCAGTTAACGGAGGTGTGGCCACCCATGGATTCTACTCATGACTTTACTCCCACTACTCGACTTTTCCGTACAGTAGTTGTTGCTGAATAACTTGCTACCTGTGAAGTTTTCCTCTCTTCCAAGAAGACTGCTTTGATGAGAATGTACGCTCGTTCACAACGTTCATGGGCTCGGAATTTGAGATCGGTTGAAGATAGCATGTCCATTTGATTTTGAAGTACACGGTACCTAGAAATCATTGTAAAGATATCACATGATCTGCGGAAGTAGAACTTCTGAAGCTATCACAAGTTCGGGATCACGATTCCTTCTTTTTTTCCCTGTAAATACTGCGCAGCTCTCGATCAACTCTCGCACTAATTCCATTACTTGGCCCAAAGTAAGAAGAAAGAGATTAATAAGTTTCCGTCGACTCGCAAAGCCAAACAGACCACCTCATACAGGCAGCTTTTTGAGATGGAAATTCATCGAATGGACAACTAATTTAATCGACTGCAAAACAGCAGCCAAAACTTCCCCAAGCCATACCTCTGGGGAGGACGATGAGAAACTGAAAATTCGGAAACTATTCCTACGCGTTTTTGGAAGTGTTCTGGTGAGGATAGTCTCAACAGCTTCAATAGATGAACTGTTGCCGTTGATCAATCCCTTTTGGTACCAATTCACGGTAGAAGATTTCTTTGGCCTGACAATGAGTGAGACCGGTCCGGGATTTGACCATCATCATCAGACCACACAGCGTGGTGAGCGTGCCACTTGCCGTTGCTCCACCCGCGCCCCGTCCAGTTTTCTTTATTAGAGTAGTCAGGTTATGCACATTTCTTACTGACCTGATCGTCTCTGTTGTGGATGAAGACTTTAGGACTCTTCACACCACCATTCATTTCACATCGGCTCACTTCTGCACCTTGCACTTCTGTATGAGATCCGGGTATTGTGTCTAATTCAGCATAGAGCCATCGAATAGTTGGTGTAGGTTCCTCCCTGAAATTTGAAACACGCTTTTATGCCCTATCAATTAATTTTGCTGTGTTGTTCGAGGCAGAACTTTTTTGGAGGGGCAGGAGGCGACACTTTCATGCCAAACATGTTCGATATACGCCATTTTCATTATAAATCGTACTTTTTTCAAAACAAGTTGGACACTTTTCAAACCAAGTCAGACACATTCAAAGGCACACTTTCAAATCAAACCGGGCACCCCCTGACACTGGACAGTTGATAACTAGATTCCACTAGGTCCTGCTGCAAGCCCCGCCCCAACACCTGCCCACTTCTTAATGCGGTCATGGTTTTCCAACTGGTACCGACACAGGACACTTCGCAAAATAAATATTTTCATTTTCATTATATCTATGACCCCTCGCTAACCTTAAGCCGGTGGGTAGAGTGCTCTGGAACCGTTTTGCGAGTTTTTAGGTTTGGCGTCGCCCACCTCGCCGCACTCTCCGCCCATCACGGATCCTTTTCATTTTCATGTTTTCACATTTTCATTCATCCTTCGCAAAACGATATACATCTGTAACTGGCACACTAAGCTCCGCCCTCTGGCACGCCCACTTTGTTCCATTTTGCAGATTTTGATCTTTTCTTCTACATTTCGCCTTTTCAGGCTGTTACAATGGCCCCGCCCACTTTAAGAAGCCCACGAACTCCACAGAAACCCC